TGAATCAAAAGAACACCCTGTTGTCACACATGAAATCAGGTCCCCACCATTCAGCAACAAGCCAGAACCAGTGGTATCTGAGCAAGCCATAATGACACAAAAATGACAACAAGCGTGGGGTGATTCCATGATGCGAGTGTTACACTTACATACATCTACCCAGACATCTGACACTAGTATGCAGGAGATGGCATTTATATCATGGTACATGTTTCACTCCTTGCCCTCCTTGGTGCTCCTGCCAGCAGCTATAAAGGCAGGATAGGGATAAGCAGTGGGATAGCACATTTTCTGCCCTATGGTTCTGTGCCAGGTCTCAGAGAGGCTGATAGTGTTGGAGAATGAAGCATTCAGGATGTGTGCGTGAGTGTTCCTGAGAGCAGGATCTTGACCTGAGCAACTAGTAGGTTTTGTAACTATAATTATTGGTTCAGGACAGAACATACAACAGGCTAACTATAACCTTGCTGATTTTAAGTCTCCAGTCTACATGAGAGAGAAGTAATTTTAAAATTATCTTATGAAATACCCAAGTCTTATTTCTCACAGAAACAGAGGCTGTAATAAGACAGCATTCTTATGACATGCAAGTTCCTTCTAATTTACCAGAAAAAATGGAGGGACAAGGGTTGAGACGCCTCTCCGGAATGCTGTTTCTATAGGACTTTTAAAGGAGGAGAGACATTTGGCAATCTACTTCGGATTTCGGCCTGACAACCTCAACAAGCAATCTCCAACCACGAACCTGAGCTAGCCAACAGTAAAACCCACCTCCTCCATTGATAGTATCCAAACTCTTAAACGGCCCCGTAGCAAGGAAACTGCGCGCCTTCCCTGCGCTGCAGCGGGAAAAACAATGCTTGCGCGGATTGGTTGCCGTTTCCGCGGAGCCCTCAAGTAGACTACAGGCTGGGTCGACGTCTCTCATTTGGGAGAAGGAGGTAAAGAAGAGGTACAAGTCGCACCAAGAGCCTGGAAGGACCCGGTGGGAAGTTCTCTCTAACGTCAATCCTGGGAAATGTGTACTCCGCCATCCCCGTGACAACCGCCGAGGGTGGAGCCAGCTGCTGAGGGGAAGGGTGGGGATGCTGCTTCAATTCCCCGTCGCTGAGGGAACCTGAACGGCTCTCCTTCCTATGTATTTTTCATTAAGTCGTCACCGCCCACCTTTTCCGTCGTCCTCTTCCTCCTTCGAACGCAGCCCCAAGAAATCCAGCACTGAGTCTGCTGAGTTAGCTAGACTGATTTTTGTAATTCATCACCAGATTACCAGTCCTGATATATCTCACTTTATCCTAACCAATGACAGTGATACGTGTATCAAATGAATGTTGAGTGTGCCTTTAAAAAGGTATTCGACTGCCGCGTGCATCCCCTTATCCTTTTCAAGTCCTGGAAACTTTTATTTGCTCTAGGTACACGCAAACATTTTCTTGCATGAGCACACAATTCCACTAAGGGGCACTGTGGGATTCAGATAAACAGACGGCCTTTTTCTGTCCGCGAGAAAGTTCTGAAGCGATTGCACTTCGTTCTCCCTCACGCTCCTCACGGAAAGCTGGTTGCGCGAGCCAGGCTCTGAATGGCGGAACACGCGCCGTTTGCGCACCGAAGGTTTCCTGCAGCTTAGCTTAGAGTTTGGGAGCCCTAGAGAAGAGCGCGATTGGAGACCCCCGTGGAAGATTTTTTATATATATAATTCACCAGCAGATTACAAGTCCTGATATATCTGCCTTTATTCTAACCAATTATATTAATACATTATCTAAGGCACCAGCTGCTTGTTTCTCCCTGATTCTCTTGTTGCCCTGAGTTGACTGTTGCTGCCCCAAAATGATAATGACACGATGCCATCTGGAGATTGGGGGGGGGGGGAATCATTTGAGGTTTTACTGATTAAAAATAAGCTGTATCAACTGTCATCCGATAAATATAGTGCCAGATGCCCGGCTATATAAAATATATATAAGCCAGGTGCATTTGGCTGCCTGGCTAAGAGGAAAAGATCAGCAAAGTGGTCACCCTAGGTTTCCTTTTTTGTTTACTACGATTAGGCCAAAATGGGAGGTTGAAGTGTGGGGACCCTGGACAGTTGCTTGATCAGCCTGCTCCTAAAGACACTACTGTTCCCTGTCATCTCAGATAGAAGAATCTCACAAGCAAAACTAAAACACTTCATTCTCATGCCCTCCTAATGGGGCTCAAACATTTGTTCCATAACATGGCATTTCCTTTGTTTCGAGCTAAAGTTGTCTTTAGCTGTTCCAGATTTAAAATACAGTAGTATTTTCCTTCTTCTCCCAACATAACTTTTGCCATGGACACCATACAGCTCATATCGCTGATGGTGTGATTGATGGCACAGTCAGGTATAGGATGTCTAGTTCCTACTGACTTTTTCGTGCTGCTGCAGCTGTGCCCAATTGTCTTGGTTCACTGGGAATTGCCCTCTGTAGTCATCTGGACTTGAGTTGCAGGAATCACTGGATGCCAGACGTCTGCAGAGGCATCTGTCTACAAAATGCTGACCGGTGCTTTCTGACTACTTGACAGGTCCCACATGAGCGCTGTAAATGCATGGTTTTAGCACTGTTTGGAGAAAGCATTAGACTTTTTTTTTTTTTTAATCCAGATCAAATGTAGAGAAGACATTGGCGAAGGTATGCCGCAACATTAGTAAAACATGATATTCTGGGAAACCTAAACAGTGTGAGAAAGAAACTGAAAATTATCTTGTCTTCATTCTCTTTGGTATAAGAGGGAGAGAAGCAGGAATGCTGTTAGGCCTTCAAGATTCTGTAATTCTAGCCTCTATTGATAAAACAGAGTATTTCTTATAGTATCTGTTTCCTGGCCTGAACTACCTCAAAGGCCTAACATCAAGTGATTTTAGTGCTAGACTTGTATTTAGAAAATTAGTGCTCTCTCAATTAGTACTATCCTCATGTTGCACAGATTTAACCAAAAAGAGAGAAAGAGTTGGGAGCTGCCAGCTATGCATTGCTCATTCTGTCACCCATGAGTACATTTCATGTTTGCACTGCTTCTGCTGATAAGGACTTTATGTGCCTGAGCCTTTAATTGTTTTCATTACTTTCTGTCATTACCGTCTGACATTACTGTCAGCATGCAGCACTAGTCAAAGATAGAGCTCACTCATATTAATCACTCCCCTGCCCACAGAGACGTATTGACAATCTCCCAGATCCAAGTGGTTACCTCTCCATGTTTTCCTTGCAATAACCAGAAAGGGCAGGTGACCAAAGAACAGGTAGCAGAGTTCACAGACTGAATGGAGTCCCAGATAATATGGCAAAATAGTGACCTAGTCTCTGCCAAGAACTTTGATGATGTGGAGTCAAGACTATGGCAAATCTGAGCTACTTTACCAGCAAAATGCTGGTCAGAGTGGTCAAATGGGAGATATTTATGTTGACTCCTCCATAATAGGAAGTTGGTCACCCTAAACAACTGAACAACTTGCTGATGTAATAAGAGAGAAAAAGTTTCATCTCCTTTATCACCATGATGTAGGCCTGAACATGGGCACATATCCATGCTCAGTTGATTCGCTTCTTGCCCTCTTCCACTGGTGCTCTAGGCACCAGTCCTGGTGCTTCATATCTTGAAGGTCCTCAGTAAACCAATACACTAGCTGGGATTAGCCTCCAGAAATAGGCCATTCAGGAGCACTACTGTTCAACACCCAGTTTGCCTCCCATTGCCTGTTGTTCACCAGGCACTGCACAGAACTGCCTGCCAAATACCTGGGAAATTCCCCAAGAACCCAGCTGGATTCATTAGGCACTTGGAGCAGACCATCCAAATAGGTCCCTAGCCCCATGGATACCACGGGTAGCTAACAATTGCAACTGATCAGGGCATGATCTGATTATGGCAACAGATGATGGAAATCTCCTCCATCTTCAGATCACTTAACATCCACTCTTGAGACAAATGTATGGTCACCCATATGTGTAAGGCTGAGATTCAGTCAGTTCTGTGAAAACAATGTTACCAACACATTATCTTCATCTCAGCCCCAGGCCATGAATGAGACATCCCTAACCCATCTTCAGCTATATGGTTGTTAAAATAGTATTTCCCCTTTTATTTAAACACTCTCCAGGGGCAATCTTAAAGTGTGTAAAATCTGTTAGGCTATACCATCCATTACCTGTGAGAGAAGTCAGGTGGCTACATTGACTAAGATCAGAGGAAATAAATATGGAACAGATATCAGCAATAGGGCAACCAATTTAAGGCTGGTTTAATTTTCTAGGGGTGGAGAATTTTTTGCCTATTATGTGCTGGACACTGGCTTCTTCCTTTGAAAGAGTTATTTTACTGTGTAGTGTTATTGTTTATTATTTTTCTGTTGCTATCCAA